ATATATATATATATATATATACCATTTTATGAACACTATTAAGGGATGCTTAAATAAAGTCTCTAGAGAAAGAAATACCTATAAGAGACACCACGAATGCTTTTTTCTTCTAGCTTTGGTTAGCCATTTTCTTAACTCTATTATTCTGCTTTTGCAGTTACGTCTATATGGTTGCAGCTTTCGGCTAAAGCTAAATTGTTCGTTCTAGATATGCGCATAAATTTTTTGTATCTGTTATTTTATTTGAAGAAACGAAAAATTAATTACAAGCTTGCAGTCCTCATTCTTTATTTTCTTGTGCATCTTACGGTTCTTTCTTGCTTAACAGAAGTTACCTTTCCCTTTGCCATTAACTTTTTTGGAAGATTTGCATTTATATATCTCAATTCTTTTGTATTTACATGCCTAAACTTTAATTTTTACATTAATGTCACCTTCACTTTGCATCAACTTTTTGGAAGATTGGAATACATATCACTCAATTTTTATGTATTTACATATGTAACGCCTAAACTTCAATTTTTACATATATATATATATATATATATGTCACTTTTTCTCTGCATGAAAAGGTGTAAATCATCTTTTATATGTAAATGGTTGTGTTTTTTTATGTAATATGAAAATTTTGGGTGATATAAATGTATAAAATTAAATTTTAAATAATAGATATGTAAATACACAAGAAATGCCCCATTTTTTTTGTTTTGCCGGTATAATGTGGAGGACTACTTAATATCAGATTTTGCATACCCAATTTATTATGTTTATGTTGTTAGGCGCTCGAGACCTTTCCCCGGATCGCGAATCGCGATCTCCCGCAAATCGACGCTCCCTCCTGCCGCCTCCTTTCGCGAATCGGCGCCCGATCCCGCTACCGATCGCGAAGAGTTGTCTTTTCGCCAGAAACCGTTCCCGCCTCCTCTGTTTCGCTAAGCGAAGCATCCCTTTGCTTTCTTCTCTTCGTGATAAAAGGAGAGGCTCTCCTTCAGATCTGGTGGTTACGAAAAGTTACGGTGTATCTTCTTTGGGTTTCCTCGAGACAGAGGAAGGAAAGTGCAAGAGTTAGTTCCTTGCGGTGAAGAAAGAAGAAAGAAGAAGAAGATTGTTCTCCCTAGACTTCTTCTTGGTGGCTTGTGACAAAAGAGAAATTGGTTTTATTTATCTTGTAAGCTTGTCTTCTTAGGTGTATCTCGGTGTAGAGTTTATTCTGTATATCTCGGTGTAGAGAGAGAAGAAAAAAGAGAGAAGAAAGAGAGCAATGAAGAGTGAGTGATTCCTCTTGTAAGTCGAGGTGATCGACTGGTGTAAATTTCCTCAAGTAGTAAAATCTTCTGCAACTCCGTATACGTAGGCAATTTGCCGAACCACGTAAATTTGTGTATTTCGCTTTGTTGTTCTTTTTTGGTATGATTTTTCTCGTTCTATTTTTCGCTTCGTCGATCATTTTCCCGTTTGATTTATATATATATATATACCCCACATCAACTGGTTGGTGTATAGATCTCGCAACCACAACAACATATGTCACTCAAATCTTTTCACAATAAAAATATCACTATTTCATGCACTAGATATGGTGAGGTACATTTATAAAAATAAAAATTTAGGTGTTAGATATATAAATAAACAGAAATTGAGTCGTGTGTATGTAAATCTTCCAGCCAAAATGCCACCTTTAATGTAACTAGATTTATGATATAACAACTTTCACATTGAAAGATCTCTATAGAAAGCTGTACTTATTTCAATCATATATACATTTTAAGAAAATATTATAGTAATAGAATTGCTTGGCAATGCCTTCCACACTACCCCAAATTAGTGCTAAACATTCATTATCTACAAAGCGCCTCTTAATATGGAACTTTATATTTGCTGAAGTTTATTTCCTCCAACAGCCTCGTGCATGCTTATCATATTTCCGTTGTTCTTATGAAAAAATATATATTTGAAAGAATAAATTCTCTGGTTAGAACAGCTGAAAATTGCTCCAGTTTGCTGCCGTACGCGAACCTTCAACTTTGAGTGCAGAAATTCACTCCAATTTTGCTGCAGTTTTAGGAAAGCAATTGTTGAAGATTGGGCTGCATCAATTTAGCTGCGATGGCCAGCTCAAGCTTGTACTACGTGGTTTTTCTTAATGGCTATTGCACTATCAGAGTAAGATGTTTATTATAAATTAGGAGTGCTCTGTATGTAATTATCACTATTTTTTTTTTTATATTTGTATTATGAGTTTATCAATAAGCATCATTGTCTCTCCTATAATATTTGTTGAGAGCCGTGTGTAATAAGATGGTTTTATTGGTTTATTTGTTAAATGTTGTAACTCATATTTAAACACATATATTGAATGAAATACCTAGTTTTTGACTTATTTTCTTTCAATTTGATATCAGAGCCAAACCTTAGCCCTTCTCTCTTCTACCCACACCTCTTCTTCCCAAGATGTCCCGTGCCGGAGACTCACCCGCGCGCAGTCTGTGTCTCGCTTCCTGTGTGGGAGACACACCGGCTCCCAGTTCCGGCCACCGCCCTCAAAGCTGCCTCCGCCATCTGTCCAGACCGCGCTGCCGACACAACCTCCCTTCCAGGGTGCTGCCGACACAACCTCCTTTCCAGGCTGCCGTTGCCGCCACACCTCTGACAATCGAGCCGCTACACGAAAAAGATCTTGATCTTGATGATGAGATAGATCAAAATCGGGCCTAAAGGAGGAAGGGAATTGTTCATGTTGTGTATGACCTAGAAGGGAGTCCAGGTAATTGAAGAAGACGTGAGATGCATAGAGTGTGGGAGTAAAAGAGCGGATTTTCTGGGGAGGATTAGTCCGAAGGTGCTGAAAGCCTTGGTAGGGCTCATATAGGGAGGCAGTGCCTTGACAAGAACTGTTCTTAGACGTATGCTTTGACGTAACTGAAGCTAGATCTCTCTCTCATGGTTCTGAAGCTTGATGGACAGACCACTTATCTGAGCTAGTCATGTCCGATTGAGGCAGCTCTAGTAAAAAAAAAAACTAGAGAGATATCTAACTGAGGACGAACCAACAAGTGACAGTGTTGAGAGAGATAAATGGAGGACCACTCACTCCTTAGTTTACACCTGGTTGCTCAACTCAATGGTCATATCAATTACGCCCTCAGGCGATGGCATTTGAAAGGTGAGGGACATCTAAGCAAAGGTGAAGAAGATTTATGCTAGGACTAAGAACCACATGTGGGTATTATGGATTCAATGCTAGACTGGAGCTATGATATTGGGTGAGAAATCAATTCAGGAATACTCTATAGATATGAAGAGGCTGTGGGCGGATCTTGGTTACTTCTCACCGATGTCGAGCTGTAGAAATTTAGAGTTCAAGAAAAGAAAGTTCCTCACACAAATGAGGACTAT